TCAAATGCATTGATAATAAAACTTAAAGGTACAATGTTCGACTAATCAACGGATTAGACAATAAAGAACAAACGGGGAAAGCATCATACAATGATGTTACCCTCTTTGACCAACATGGTCATATCCCAAACACTACCACAGACAACACTATCAACATGAAAGACAACATAATTAAACAAACCAACAAGAGAATAAATATCTAGGGCAAGGTCGGCAAAAGCTTTCTTTAACATTTAAAACATGGTCATCCCTCCAGCTTTATTTATCGTTTGTAAATGAATGGGCAACCTTTGTATTTAAAATAAAACTTTTACGGAATAATAATATGAGAATTATTTCTATATTAATATTGATATTAAAAATAATACAAATTGTATTTATAGAATTAATCTATAAGAAAAATATGTTTATATATAGTTATAAATTTAACATTTACATCAATTAAAAAGATGTAAAATTTTTTTTAGAAACTAAATACTTCTACAATAGAAATAATAATAATAAGAATAACACTCATTACAATCATAGATTACTATAAATTGTTTGCTATGATGACACAACACTTGCATCTTTTCTTTATCAAATTCAACTTTCACAAACTTAACCAATGTGGAAAAATTGCATATAAAAGATAAGTGCTAAAAATTGCATATACAAGATGAGTGCTAAGTTACTAAGTTAAGTGGACCATTTTTAACCAGACATAATTGTAGGGAACTTTATCAGGAAAATAAAAATAAGATGGCTATAATATATAATATCGAGGCCTGTGAGAACATAGTGTCCTTACAACAGATTCGCCCCGTATGAGCGTCTGATTCCCAAGATACAACGGAAAAACCGAAACAAATCCGGCGAACTGGAATTATGCCTGGACCAAAACACTTAAAAGGAAAAATGGGGAAAGGGACTTTAACAATTGTTTTGCTCTTTATTCTTGCTCGTGTGTTCCATCAAAAGAAGACAAGTCTTCTTATATAGGTTTAACATAGCCACCATAATCAATACTTCATTTAATACAAAATTTAATAAAGTTCATTAATCTTGTAACATTGAAACAAGTTACAAGTTTAAATGTGAAACACACGCTTTCAAAACTTTAACCATTATGTTACAACTTCATTCAAATTAATTTTCCAACAATCCCCCACATGAATGAAATTGAAAAATAATGTTGTGGTCCAACAGTTGAAACCTGCTAGGATAGGTAGGTGTTACCCTTTGAACCTTCCCTTGTGAAAGCACATTAACTTTACTAGCTGACCAGTAGAAGCGATGTCTTTGAACTGTTCTGCCTTTTGTGTAAACGATAAATATACTTCACACAGGATTCTCCCTAACATATTTCAGTTCTCATTATTATGTTCATTAGTGGCCTTGGACATAGCCTGGTTCTGTAAGAGGGTCTAAGAATTGAGCCCCACACAATTCTCTTCAAAGCGGCCCCACTTCTCTCTCACATAGGTGATTCTTAATTACAAGTAGCTCGTACTACCTTCCCATACAAGAATTATTAAAAGCCAAATGCTTATCCTACTCACCACGGGTATCACTGTTTAAGGAATGGACAATGGATAATATCCCACAGTGAACACAAAAGTCTTTTTACAATTAGGTTGTCCCTTTAAACCAAGATCTTGGGATCTCCAGTCAACAAGGTAGGGTTTCCATTGTATCAACTCATTTCTAGAGGATTAAGTCCTATTTCTCTCAAAGATTTAGCAACCAACTCTCGGTTTAACCCTTTGGTTAGCGGATCCGCAAGATTATCTTTTGACTTCACATAGTCAATAGATATCGTACCAGTTGAGAGTAGTTGTCTAATGGTATTATGTCTTCGACAGATATGTCTAGACTTACCATTATACATATTACTTTGTGCCCTGCCTATAGTCGATTGACTATCACAATGTATACAAATTGCTGGCACCGGCTTTGATCATCGTGGAATATCTTCTAAGATATGGCGAAGCCATTCTGCCTCTTCTCCACTTTTGTCCAATGCTATAAATTCGGACTCCATTGTGGATCTGGCAATAACAGTCTGCTTAGAAGATTTCCATGATATGGCTGCACCT